TGTTTTTGTTCTTTAAGAAAGTGCTCCCTTTCCTCAAAATGAAGGTGATCATCATTTGGATTACTCAGATAGTTAACAGTCTAGCTAGAGAAGTACTTAGGAATTTCAAAATAGAAGATGTCACAAGATGATACAAGATTAATGACAAAAAATGACACAAAAGATTGTGCTCTTAACTACTGTACTCTTTTACCCTGCAGTGTGTGGGATATATGAGAGTAGTGACATAGCTAGAGTTCATGTCACTTGGGGTGGTCCTTCAATTTGCTATCCTCCCAATATATCTGAATGGAGTAAATTGTTACAACATAATTTTCCAATAATGCCACCCACAAAATGTGCCACCCAGGGGAGGACCCCTAGCCCCAGTTATACCATTGCATGGAGAGAAGCTGATAGAGTCACCATGTGGTCAGTGGTACACCTTAGCGTGATGAGGATAGTTACGAAAAGGAGGGAATGGTTCTACATAAAAGCTAAAAGAACAGTATCAGGTGCCCCCCAAATGTCAGTGGTATAACTGAGATAATTGCGTGTCATTGATAGAAATAGAAATGCCAGGACCTGGAGACCACCTGGGAAGAAGGAATGTAATATGTTTTGTTTAGTATAGGGTGAGACCAGGAGAACAGTTATTTAATTACTCATGGGAATATATTTGGTAGAAAGTTAAGACTGAGGAGTGGCTTGTGCTTAGTAGTGACGGTGGAAGCTACGTGAAAGGTTCATGTAGCTCAGGGAAATGACATAGGAGCAGCAGCTCCCCTTTGTGCCCTCTTTGATCTCCCCTCTGACATCATACTTTAGTTCCTATCTGGATGTACTTTTGACAATATATGTAGACTACATTGGACTCAGAATAATAACATGCCAGACTTGGCTAAAATACTTGAAAAAATTTAAAAAGACGTGGATGCCAAGAAGACACTCCATAGCTCATGAGGTCAACTCTAGAACTACCTTTCGGGTACACTGATTCTACTGCTTTTCAAGGCCCTCATAGCTATCTGAATCCTGGACTATAGGTTTAGTCTCCAGCCTCAATGATTTTCTCCTTCGCTAGACTCTGCATTGTTTTAGAAGAAAAGTATGAGCACAAGTTCAAAACTACTCCTACTTTTTCAACATCCTCACCTCTTGCCATCTTTTTTCCAACTGCTTGTACACCCTAAACTGGAATTGTGGTACTAGACGATACACATGACTTTACGCAATAGTCTCCTTACTCTTTGGGATTTCTAATACCCTTTGTCAAAAGAAAAAATGTATGTTTCATAAGGCTGGTCAGATAAAATAATGCTAATTTCCAGTATGGCAAGTGTGATGAGTGCTTACTAAACATTTGGTGCTAAATTATGTTGTTGTAAAATAAATTATCTAGAAGGTAAAAAGAACAAAATGATAGATGTAAAGGACTCAATACTGAATCTTATGCCATGATGACAAATGAGGTGGAGAAAAGTAAAGGAAAGGGGTAGATAAAATAAGAATTGAGGGACTGAGTTAGGTGGCACATGAGTGTAATCTCAGAAAGAAATACGAAAAATAGAGACTAGCACAGAACCTGGCCAAAGAAGCAGGGCTCAATGAAGTCATAGATTTGATTCAATGTCACAGCAACTTATTTGGGGAGACATTTTAAAGAACAAGAGCATGATTATTAGTGAACAATCCTATAGGGAGGAAGTGTAATTCAAAAGAAAATCTAGATGATTGAGAAATATGTTTGAGAAAAAACCTAGGGACCTTGATAACATTTAGAAGCACTGTTCTAAAGAATAAGTGGCATTGACACTGACAGCATTCTCATGAGGTAAAAATGAGTGATGCACATAAGTAGCAATAAAAATTGGGTGGCCAGGCTGGATGCAGTGGCCTAGACCTCTAATTTCAGCTATCCTGGAGGCTGAAACAGGAAGATGATAAGTTCAAGTCAGCCTGGGCAATATAGTGAGACCCTGTCTTAAAAAAATATAAATGAGCTGACTATATTAATGTTTTTGGATCATTGAACACAGCTGTTTGTAATCTCTCTGTTTGAATGTCTACTCTGTATTCTTTGATACTGTGATTTGAGCAACTATTTCCAAGATGATAATATGTAATCTATTAACAGGTGATTTCTTACTGTTATTTTTTTTGTAGTTCTGTATTATATGTAACCTTACACTGCTTCGTTTTGTTTTGTGTTTTTCTCTCTTTCCTCCTAAATAAAAAAAAAAAAAAATATATATATATATATATATATATATATATATATATATAAATGGCCCAGGATGTAGTTCAGTAGTATTGCACAAGACACTAGGTACAATTCTTGGGGGAAAAAAAAGAAGACAAAGTTTTGCCAGATGACTTGGTATCTGTTTACTTCTCATTCCTTAATCAAGCTGGAGTTCTTTCATATTCCAATCGATCAATGAGGAAACATCTTCCTCTCTGGGCTTCATCCAATCTGTGGTATGAAGCCAAAGGTCATTGTTTTCAGCCATCTTTGAGCATTAGTTTTCTTCCTATCCCTAAATTCCATTTGAAGAAAAAAATCACCAACTAATCTTTGGAAAAGTATTTCAAGATTTTTTCCTACTCAGTGTTAATTCTTTTTTTCTATCACTTTGTTTTTTTAATCCCCAACTTTTAAATAAAATGAACATTTACAAAGTTCAAAAGCCAAAACTATAAAAGGTTTACATTTAGAAGTCTCATTTTCATTTCTTTCTTCCTTTTTTTTTCATTTTTACTTCTAAGTCCATCACCCTCATTACTTCTTGCCTACTGGTAACTTGTATTAGTTTCCTGTTTGTTCTTTCAGTGACCTCTCCTGTAAAATTAAGTATTATTCACACACACACACACACACACACAACTTATCTGCCATTTCTTACATATGAAAGAACATAATGAATTACACTTTCAGATCTTGGTGGTTTTGTAATTTAACAGTAAGATTTTTCCTTAGTATGAAAAGATAGATCTTTCTATTTTGTGGTATTTAATTTACTTGAATGTTGCTTTTCTACCCATCCCTGATCTTTCACCTTCAGCCTTTGTACAGTCAACATGTTTATGCTAACTGCCTAGAGGGTCATATGTATTGTGAAAAATACCTCCAAGTTATTTTAATGCATTCCTCTTTTGTGGTTAAGAGCTCAGATATTGGTTTAGACGCCAGTACACATACTTACCTGCTCTGGTTACACTGGTCTTCTCAGAAAGGCAGCTCAAGATTTTTCTTGCTCCTTTGTCTCCCACCTCCCCACTCAGAAAGTGTTAAACTGGATTGAGAAAGACTCCATGGTACTAGGTTGAACACAGTCACAGAAAGGGAAACTTTCATAGAACGAAAAGCTCTGAGGTTGTCTCTGTCTTCTGTCTGGAAGTACCCTTTTGCTGAACCTTCCTTTTGTGTCAGTTATGCCTAGGATTAGAGGGTTCTGGGGAATCAAGACACTTTCTTTCCATTATTTTCCCCGCAGGCATTCATAGGCAAGACTTTGTCATATCAGTGGAGAAAGAGCCAAGCCTAGAATGTGGGTTTGGAGGCCTCACACCTATCTAGCAGAGAACAATTGCTATCGTAAGTCTCATTCCTCCCAGTTCTATACTGGAGTTTGAGGCTAAAGCCCCAGCTTATGATAAAGAGTCACTTTGCTTTGTTTTATACTCTGGCATAGATTTCTCTGAGACTCCCTGAAAACAGGTAATGGGATAGGTTTCAGGTTCTGCGGTATCCTGGTCAAGTATGTTTTTATTTTATTTTTTTTATCGGTACCGGGGATCGAACTCATGACCGCCTGCTTGCAAGGCAGGTACTTATGCCGCTGAGCTAAATCCCCAGCCCTGGTCAAGTATGTTCTAAGTCATAATGATCTCATGCCTTAATAGATCCCCACTTCTCTCTCCTAGGGCTGCCCAGAAATTTTCATATATAAAATGCTTAACACAGAGCTAGACATAGAAGTAGCTACTGTATCTTAGCAGCATTTAAAAACCCAAACCCAACTTCACTTAAATGATTTCTGGTGCTTCAGGTAAAGTGGGAAGTACTTCTTCACATATTTGGAGAAGGGAGTAGAATGCAACATTTACCCATAAAAATGTACTCACAGTATTGTACACTTAAAATGTGTTGAGGGTAGAACTTGTTTTTTTTTTAATTTAAAAATTTATACCTGTAGAGTTATATAAGGGCACTCTAACATTCTCAGCATCTACTGTTGGCCCTTGGCTTACAGTTTTCCTTAAACTTAATGCTAAAATACAACCAAAAATCAGAATAGCACTAATATGTAGTGCTGACAGATGTATGAACAGTACCATGTAGACTCAAGTGCTGCCCTGCCTGATACACTATTGCCATAAACTTTGATCATTTATTTGCTTTACAAATACATGCTAATACCACAGAATTAATGATATACCTGACCAAAGATGTGTAAAGGAGGTCAGTATTTTTTTTCATCTCAAGTATTTGAACTCCAGGTTCAAGTCAGAAACATCTGACTGTTGAAATCAGAGCACATTTTTGAGGGAGGACCAAGTGATTCTCCCACAAGCCCAAAGCAAGCAGTTGTGTGGTTATTTTGTTTTGCTCTAGGGATAAATCCAGGGCTTTCACACTAACCTACATTCCCAGCCTTTTGTATTTTTTGACAAAAAGTCTCACTAAGCTGCCAAAGATAGGCTCAAACTTTCAATCTTGCTGCCTCAACTTTTCAGAGTGCTGGGATTACAGGTGTGTTCCACAGCACCCAGCTGTGATTTATTTTTAAATCAGTTTCAGTGGTGATTAACAAATCACCACTTTGGCTTTATGTAATGCTTCTCAATTGAATAAAACAAGCTTGAATAGATGAACACATCAGTTGAAAATTTAACTCAGAAACATCTGTGTTCCTATCTGTTTCTATTAAACACCACCAATATTCTTAACGCTTTCTAAGAGCTTTAGTGAGCAGAAACCAGTTATTACTTCAACACAAAATAAACCAAAAAAATAGTTTAATATTAAAGAATATTTTTATTTCAGAAGCAATCAAGGAGAATTACACAAAAGCCTAAAGTCTGATCCAGCAAAATGAGGCACTGGATTGTGAATCATTCAATCAGAAATATTTAATAAAACATGAATCACATTATTAGACTTTCAGCTACTTTAGGAATGTAAATATTTCTAAGTCTTGATTCTAGAGTTTGATCATAAAAGTTCAGCACAAGAATCTCAAACTTTTACTGTACATGTTAACCCCCTGAATATGTCTTACTAGATGCTTATTCAACATCTGGAGTGGTGCTTGAGATTCTAACCAGTTTCTGGTTGAAACTGATGCTACTGGTCCACAGATCATATAGTAGCAAGAAAGGCATGGGTAAAGAATTGTAATAAAGTGATACAAGTACTTGAAAATCCATATGAGTATCAGAAAAGGCTTCACATAGTTGGAGACAGATGAGCTGAGTCTTGTTCTTGTAATCCCAGGGAAAAATGAAGAAGCCTACTCTGTAGTTCAGTATAGCTTGGGCATGCCATCTAAACTTTCTAACTTTCAATTTCTTTCTCATTTACAGAATTAGAAACTGAGCCAGATGTGATGGCATACCTATAATCTCATCACTTGGGTGGCTGAAGCAGGAGGATCACCATGAGTTTAAGGCTAGCTTGGGCAATACAGTGAGTTCAAGGCCAGCATTAACTATGTAGTAGGACCCTGTCTCAAAACACAAAACAAACAACAACAAAAAACAATAGGGCTCTCTACCATCTATGCTGACTGTTTATACATAAGAACCAGCCCTTACCAGGAGAGCACTGAATCACCAAGAAAGGAAGGAAATTAGGGATTCAAACTAATAGGCTGTGTTAGACCCTTCATAGCCCTGAAACTAGATGACTCCACTGAGATGAAATCACTTAATATAATGTCTGGTTAGAAGTTAGGATGAAGGGGGCTGGATATTTAGCTCAGCAGCATAAGCACCTGCCTTGCAAGCTGCGATCCCTGGTACCAATAAAAAGGAAAAAGATAAAAAAAAAGAAGTTAGGATGAAATAGTATAAAATGTTCTATTAATGAGACTAACAAACTGACCTACACTTGTCAAATTAAGGTACATCAGTCACTAAGCAAACAGCACTTACAACTTAACAGCCTCTTAAACCTAACCCTTCCTATTCAGCTGCCTATTCATAGGCAAGAGTGTGGTTTCATGGATGAACTACTTTAAAAGAACATCATTATTACTTTGCACAGCACAATATTTAACATATAAAGTACTTTTCACTTTCAAGGCACTTTACAAATATTGGTAAATTACTTGTCACACAATTTTGGCAAGTTAGTGCTCATTAGTCCAATTACAAGTGGACCAGATGAAATTGAAGCAGTGAAGACAGGCCCCAAAGACAGGATCAGAGCCAAAGTGAAAACTCTGCGGGCTCTCTATCACTTTTGCTGGCTGTTTCTAGATGAGAACTGGCCCTCATCAGTAAAGCACTGAATCACAGGAAAGGAAAAAAATCACCATTTCTGAGCATCTTGCTGAGGTTTGCCACTAAACACCAACAAGTCATATAAGGAAAGAGACAAAGTATTATACAGGCTTATTTCCACCTCCACCCCCAAACATTCAATCTACCCATGAGAAAAATGGGTTAACAGTGACTCCATTTTCACAAAAAAAAGGTTTTCATTTTCTGTTGCTTAGGTTTTGGTCACTGTATCAAACACCAGAGATAAATAATCTTTTAAAGGGGGAAGGCTTATTGTGGCCCTATGTTTCAAAGGTTTCATTTCATGGTCAAATGGCCTGTTGCTTTTAAGCCAGTAATGAGGAAAATCATAGGGGGTAGGTGCATGATGGAGCAAACAGCTCACCTCATGGTGGCCAGTAGGGACCAGGATCCACATATCCCCTTCAAGGGCATATTCCCAGTGACCTAACTTTCTTCTCCTACCTCTTCACCTGCTGAAAGTCCCATTGCCTCCCAACAGCACCTCAGGCTGGCAATCATACCTTTGACACATGGGCTTTGGGGGGGATATTCCAGAATAAAAAAATTACTGTATCAGTATCATTTACATGAAATTTGACTTTTTGAGTGTTAACATTTTTAAAGCATTTTCTAGAAAGGGTTTTGAAGAAGTAATCATGTCATAATTACAATATTATTTTCTTTCTATAGAGAATAGTTAAATATATCCCTTATAAATGATTAAAACAAATTTTAGACACCAATAATTATCCATTAAGAATTTTATTATTGTCTTGCAATTTCTGTTTTTCCCCTGTACTCCAAATGTATGTGTAGAACCTTTATATGTAGAAATAAAAATAGTTACTTAAAAACTGACCAATCTGTAATTTTAATACTTCTGATTTATGAGGTAGGAGAGGGAGAAGTTGAAAACAAAAGGCTAGTAAATTTGGTAGCGACTTACAAATAAGGTCCATTTCTGTAAGCCTAAAAGGAAGTATAATAAATTCACTTTTTTAAAATATGAAAGTGAAGATACCTAATCTTAGTAAGTACTGAATCATAATAAAATATGATTCATTTTAACAAAGGAAGCATTATATTGGAAACTGCTTAGATTAGAACAGGTTTTCTACTTCCTTTGCATTTTTCACAGTGCCTTATGTATACACAGAAGAGACATACACACTGAGCATACAATTTTTTTTTCACATATAACATAGATTAGAAAAGTTTATTTTGCTTTTAACATTAAAAAATTTGGCACATAAGTTATAGAAATGCTCTTCAAAAATGAGTGTTACCAAAAACAAAAAAATGAGTGTTATGATGGGCATGGTGGCACACACCTGTAATCCTAACACTCAGCAACTTGAGGCAGGTGGACTGCCACTAGTTTAAGGCCAGCCTGGAATACATAGTAAGTTCAAGGCCAGCTATGCTACATAGCATGACCCTGTCTCAAGCAACCAAAAAAAGAATCAATGTTAAGCCATTTTTCATTTTAACATTTATTACAAATCATATTTTATAAACACTAGGTAAACTGTATATAAAAGTTACATCTAGATACAGAAACAAAACAAAACTAGCAGTACTTATTAATGTAAAAGAAATTAATGTTTAAACATGTATAACTTAATAATAAAATTACTAACTTTTCACTGCCCATAATTTTTCATGAATTGCTATTTCAGTAGTGAACTATAGTACATTTTGATTACTATCAAAGTTTAGAACTATAAAAACAACTATCATTATTTAAACAAATCTTTTCAAACATTCAGAAGCCAAATGACTATACTTCAAGACAAATTAGGCTGAGGATATAGCTAAATAATACAGTGCTTGCCTAGTATGCAACCCCCAGTACTATCACAACCACAACCAAAAGAAAGAAAAAAGAAAGAAAGAAAGAAAGATTAAACACAGGTAAAAATCTCTTATCTAATTGAAGAGTAAAAATTTAGGCTTTGGTTAACAGATACTAAATTTAGTGGAAAATCTTACATCAACATCTCCCTTATTATTATATTCCTGAGTTTGTTAAAATACCATAGATAAATAATGAACTCAATCTATATCTTTGCATAGCATTGTATTTTAGTTTTCAAAAACAAAGTATTGTTATTATTTCAACTGTGAATAATGATGTTTAATAGTATAATCATGATAGGAAGCAATATATTTAATGTAACTTATCTAAAGAAAAAGTTATGGTCTAACCACTATTTGTAAAGATTATTTGTAAATTATGACCAAAATTAAACCTGTCACCAATTTTTATTTGTACCTTATTAAATCACACTGACTTTTTAGAATAGAATGCTCTTAATAAAAGGAGTGAAATTGTACAGTGCTAATGGTTAGCATAGAGCTAGGCACAATGTGGATGCTCAATATTACTAATTTAAAGTGAAGAGTTTTCTAATGTATTATTTCTACATACTAACATGCAATTCAATACAATAGTTAACCTGAAAATATCCAAAAATATTTTAGACATGAAAATGTATTTTTAGTAACAACTGTAAAAAGAATTTTTTACAAGTGGCCATTTGAGGTCTTAGTTTTATCAAAACATAATTAAATTTCAGATTTTAAAATAGGCCTTTTAAAAATAGGCCTATGGGGCTGAGTGTGTAGCTCAGTGGTAGAGCCCTTTCCTAGCATGTATGAGGCCCAGGGTTTGATTCTCTGTACTGGAAAAAGAAAGATAGAAAGAAAATAGGCTTATGAAAGCTGTTTTCCTATTAGCTGCATGCTTTGTGGATGGCAGGTTCAGCACCTTCGCATAGGATCAGCCTATCAACACTCTTTGAACTGATTGTAACATAATCCTTCAAAGAGTTTGAGCTAAAGACTGAGTCTGTGCATCTGAGGATTAGGTCTAAGAATATAGACTTTTGAACAAATAGTTCTACCCTGCCTCCTGGCAAATTACTATGATCAGGCAGATTTGAGAAATGTTTTGAAAGCAACCAAAATAATTTTATTATACTTACATTACTTGATAATTTGCATAGGTTATCATCATGTCTATTTCTTACCTAAAAGTAACAAAGTTTTGTTCTAAATCTCTTGATAGCCCAAGAGATAGCTGATCAAACAGTAATCACCTTTATAAAAGCTGCTAGTAGTTAGGCTTCTGTAGTTTTACTATTGCATATATTTTCTTACCAGAAGTATAAGAGATATCTAACAATTGTATTACAAAAACCAAAACAATGTGCCAATTATTCAAATAGTCATACTACTTATGAAGTAGTCTGATAGTGCCATACTGACATCAGTTATTACAGTTATTTGCAAAGCTAGTTATCAAATGTTTATTTCTTTGTTTTTGTTTTAGTTTTGTTGCCTAGGCTGCCTCAAGTGATCTTCCTGCCTGACCCATCTGAGTAGCTAGGGCTACAGAAATCAAAACCACTGATTTCCTTAGAAATTCAACTTAAAAAGTAGTATGTCAACTCATATATACAATCTCATTAGCTATTTAATGCAACTACGAGACAATTATTTAACTGGATATGTATACATGAAAAAATATACATAGGTTTATTCTAATTGATCAAATAGTAACAAATCCCTCTAAAAACATAAAATAAGCAATGAAATATATTCTAACTCAAATGTCGTGGAGCACTGAGGAAAGTTGGAATGTTTAAATTATCAGAGATTTGAAAGAACATTTAATTAGGATTAAAATCATGAACTGATAGTTGCTTCTATTTTCTAGTAAGGGTTATTATAAGTAAACAAAGAAAACTGTAAGCTTACTGAAGTGGGCTAAATAGTTTTTAAGCAGATTAAAATTATTTAATTAAGCTATTTTGATAGTTGCAGTATCTAATGTGTTATTAAAATGATGCAGTATTCAATGAGTCATTAAAAATAACATTTAACAATTTTAACATTAGTAAAAATCACTGCTAATTCACAAAAGCATATTATCAAACTCTATACACAAAAGCTGGAAAGGGCTTAATACCAAATCCTTGATTCCACATTGCACTTCATATTCCCATCTGTATATCAACAAAGTTGTAGAAGCTGTCTACATCTTCAGATGCTGTCTCCTTGTTTTCTGATACAAAAATCTATTTTAAATGTAAAATAAATAAAAATAAGAACTATGATCACAAAATGCCAAAGGCCACGTCACCACAGAGTAAAGTCACAAGCTTATTTAAAAGAAATTCAAACATATCATTTATAATATTTAATTCATAGATTTTCCATAGAATCTGTGTGGTATGATTTCAGTAGCTATAATGTAAATTAAACTTTTAAAATCACTTGGATATAATTAATGTCTTTGCTTTTCCAAACCTTCGGTCACATTTTATAACACCTGGAATTTTACTGTATAATGTACAACATTCAATATCATGAAAGCTACTGAGTAAAATTTATTTAAAGAACTCTTTTTTCTGTTTTCTAATAAAAATCTCAGTAGGCTGAGAAGCAAAATTTAATGTGCTTTTCAAAGCTGCTAAAGATACTAATTTTATTTTATGTTATTTATTTACTTTTGCAGTGGTTGGTATTGAATCAATGGCAGGCAAATGCTCCAACATTGAGCTATACTCCTTTCATTGAAACAAGGTCTTATTTTGTTGCCCGGGCTGGCATTGAACTCCTAGGCTTAAGTGATTCTCCTGCCTCAGCCTCCCAATTAGCTGAGACAGGTGTGTGCTACCATGCCCAGCATGTATTGCTAATTTTAAAAGAACTGTTTTCTGAACATCACTAAAAAAACCTCTTCTATAGAACTCCTTCAAGAATAGGTTCTACAAATGTCAGCCAGGGAAATAGGGGAGACATGGATTTTATTCTAGCTTTATCATAAACTAGCTGCATGATGCTGGCAATTTAATAAACTTTCCTGGAGGCAGTTTCCACACTTGTAAAATAAGAAAATTAAATTAGATAACATCTTAACAATTTAACTCTAAAAAGTCTGAATCATATAACCATTTCACCTCTCAGTTCCTTTTTCTATTAAATTTGATATTTGCCTTCTTCCTTCGCATTATTGTGATAAAATGAGATGGAAGATAAAGTATCTTAAATTTTGCAAATTCGAGACAAAGCAAAAGGATGAAATAAAAATTACTGTTATTTATTAAAAATAGTCAATTATATATTTATCCATTTAATCCTCTTTTATTTTTAAATTATATTAAGCTATTTAAGTCTGAAATTCTTAGATATAGTAACTTCCACAACATATTTAGAAAATATCTGTAATGATTTCAAGACCTATCTACCTCAAATTTAACGTTCAGTGATGAATTACTGAAACAAATCAAAATGAACCCCAGGGAACAGAATTGTCTTTCTAAACAATATAATCTTAGAAATAAAATAATTTACAACATATCACTTTAAAAATGCAAGGGCTTGAAGAGACACTAAGACTTTTTACTTTAAAAATTTTGTTTTATTGAAGCTAAGTAAATTCTTATTTTATTATTTTAAGCAATTAAAGTTTTAGTTTAGCAAAGAAAATTCAAAGCTTAGTATCCAATTATTTATGATAAGTTCTAAAAATCAATGTGCTGGGTTAAAAAGGAGATAAAAGTACTATTTTGTTATAAGGAAAAGGAAATAAAATGAAAGATCAATATGGAATATAGTCAATAAAATCGTATACCTTGGTCCCATTGAATGTCTTATTTATAATAAGTTGACATTCTTCTACAGCACCATCTCCATTAAACTCCAATGCAATCACAGGACCTATAAGTAAACCCAAAAAGTGTTTTCTTAGTATGAATACAAATATATTCTAAAATTAATCTTGTATTCTCCCCTGAAGCATCTCCAGCATATTCTTTGGGGGCGAGAAAAAAGGAAAAGGGAAGTAGACAGATGGGACACATTACCCTCAGCTGCTTCTTGCTACACTAATCATGAAGCAAATTAACGGAGTCTCATCCCATGCGAAGTAGCTTCGGAGTTATTATAGGACTAGTGACACATTTTCAAATAGTGTTGTAAATAGTCTGGCTTTCCCAGGTTTTATTCTTCTATAAAAACCCGAGAATCTCTTCTCATTTACCAGCACAAATAGTTGACAAAATAGCAAATAATATCAAAAGCAATCCAAGTCAACATAAGTAAGTCTTGCCAGGCAGCCAGCTTTGCTTCCAACTCTCCTACTCACCAGCCAAGTTCTGGGCCACCAACAATGGAGCTAAGCCAAATAGGAATTGAGGCCAAGCAGCAAAGTAATGCCCACCTGAAAGTATTTTCCTCGAGTGCGTCTTCAAACTATATTTTAGAAACAATGATGAAGCTTTAATTTTTATAATTCTATGAATAGAAGATTTGTGCCTCCTTTCCAATAAATTAATTTGAATATTTTTAAATGCCTTGTACCTTAAATTGTGGAGTCAAGATTCATGATTAAATCTTTGGTAAACTTGGATCAAAATGTAGTACTGGCACTCCTAGTGTCAAATTGTTGGTAAGCATGGTCCTTAATTAGAAACGCAAAAATACGCCCTTTAATTCAATTAGTATCACTATATTTCTAATGGGTTTGCTTCTTACTTCAAGTAGTGATAAGGAAGTCCTGACCTTCAAGGAACTACAAATTTCTTGGAAAAAAAATAAATTCATTAAATAGATACAAAACAACATAGAATGATGAAGTATAGTAATAAAGTGAATGAATGAAATAAGTTGAATGTAGTCATGTGCTACAAGAATGAGGAAGAAAACATTATACTACATTGGGCACCAAAATAACTGAAAGTTTGTGGTTTAATACAGAAAACAAATGCAAAAATGGGAGAATATATACCAGACAACTATAGTATACACTTAGCCACAAAGAACAAATTAAAATATGAGTTTTTTAGCAGCAGAGGGTATAGATTATGGTAGGTACTGGGTAAAGAAAGTAACTGGGAATGTTTTCTTGCTCTTGGTAAGCTCTGTGGGGGAGGCAGGTAATAATCAGAAGGTATTAAATGAAGCAAGAGATGAACAAATCACAAGGAAACAATTCTAAAGGGAGGAAAAGGCTATGTTAGAGAGCCCACACCTGAGACAGAAGGAAAGCGCCTGATTCATTTTGGCCCTGCAAGCAAAGAGGGTGCTCCTCCTCCTGGCCACCCTTTGCTCCCCCTTTTACCCCCAAAAACATGCTTTCGTGTCTTTCCTCCCTATCAGCCTACCATTTCCACTCCAACATGGCAGTATCCACACAGCATGGTGCCCCCCCTCACTCCTGCCACTTCAGATGATAGTTAAATTTTTGAGGAGAGGGAACCCTTGAGTGGCTAAGATCACGGATGGAGGGAGAGAGGGAGGGAGGTGGGCCCCTTATTTGAATAGCCAACATTCACAGCAAGCCTTCCAGAAGATTTCCTGGTTTCAATCTTTACCTTTACTAGATCTGGGCCTCAAGTTGTTAGAACAGTAGCACTTCTCAGGCTTATGTCCACTTTTAGTCTAGGTCTCCTTCCTGTGTACTAATCTGTCTGTGCTGCAGCTCAGACCCTGTTACAATAAAGACTTCTTTTGGTGTTCCTGTAAATTTACTTGTGATTAGTTTCTCAGATAGTATGGGCTCCAAAAGTCTTATAAATCTACTTAGGATTTTTATCTTTCAAAGAAAGATGAGTAATCACCAAAGAACTCCAGACAGCAGCCAACAAAGACCAGCAGCGGAGACACAGCATCTGGTAGAATTGACCTCCAGTGTCCAGCACAAGCAGGCATTAGACAGTGACCTATAGTATCTAACATAAGCTGGCATCGGATTGTGACAGCTGGCAGTGGCAGTGACAAACAGCTGGCTGCCTCGTGTTGGCATCCAGAATCATCTAGTGACATCAGGACTGCTAGCAGAGCTTCACTTTCCTGATTCTTGGATCAAGCAAAAGAATCCTAGGCTGATTGGCAACACTCCCATAGTTGGATCTACAGTCCAACCTCAGATTACAAGTAACTTGGTCTGTGAGATATTTCATGATCACAACTGGTTCTTTCTCTCTCTCTCCTTCATTCCCTCCCTCCTTTGATATACACATCCTTTGAATTACAAGCAGAATGAATTATTCTTGCAAACCAAGGTCTTACTGTATTTAGAAAGTTTGACTGTAATGTAAAAAGATAAATATCAAGGGAGGAAAACCTAAGAAAAATGTTTACCTGTTGGAGGAAAGAAGGGGTCCCGGTGGAAGGGACAGAGGTGGGTGGAAGTGAAGCGTCTCTGAATGTACGTTTTTCATATAATTTTGACATTGGCTATCATGTCAATGCCTCAAAAAAACCTAAAATTATGTGTGGAAGAAAAGCAAAAGCAATTCCTAAAAATTAAGACAAACTGAATTAAATGAATCTAACTGTATATCAAGTTCATGACATGACCACACAGAGAAAACAATTATTCCAACCTCATGAGGCAATGTTTTGACTGTCTCTTGCGTAGTTTGCTATCTTCTGGCCAGCACGAACTGTTTCTCCTCTGCAATTCCTGTTTGCTGTGCACCCTGCCTTGCAGCTAGCAAATTATGGACTGACACCGCTACAAACTGTGAACTAAATAAACCTTTCCCCCCTTTAGTTTTGGATGTTGAATATTTTGTCTCAGGAATGAGAGAAAAGTAAGACGTACACCAAAAAAGACACTGAGGCTCTACAAACAAGATGTACCCCCCTCAAATAAGATGGGTCGGTTAAGTCTGAGCAGCAGGTTATAATTTGAAATAGTCATTAAACAGGTAGGTCATTAAATGAGGAATATCTGTATTAATCTGTCCTATGTTTAAAATTTTCCATTAAAATATTTGATTGGCAAGGTTAGAAAGGTGTTGGCAGAGACTTCCTATACATTTTGTAATAACATAGCTAACTTTATACAAAAAACTGTTGTCTTATATTTTCAATTTTAAATGTGAATGTTAACTCATGATCTAGTTTTTTTTTAAACAACTTGGTTTCTGGTTATATTCATTGAAAAAGGCAAAAAGAAATAACATCTCAACCACTAAAAGAAATATCACCTAATATGTATTTCTAAATATAATTCTCTACTTAAACACTACTAAATTGGGGCTGGGGATTTAGTTCAGTGGTCTAAGGGCCTGCCTGGCAAGCATAAGGTCATGAGTTCAATCTCCGATACAAAAAACAAAACAAACAAACAAAAAAACCCCTACAAAATCACGTTTAAAATGTAGATAATTACATGTTTGGAGAAAGAATGAAGATCAACCTGGACTGTCCAGTTGTGCCAAGAAGCAACAAGGGTAACAAAGGCCATTGTGATTTTATCAAAAGGACACAAAAGTCAGCCCGAAGGGGCTCCTAATGACCAAAGGTAAGACATGGTTAAAAAAAAAAGATTGAGTAATTCTTGCACTTAATTAAAATATTCTAAATACATAAAATCACTGGAAGTTGCTAGGATAGCAATTAATTACTCTGAAAATTGATGCTATTTTTCTCTTTATTTATTCTACTTTTGAAATGTGAAGCATATTTCAAGTTAACCAAAAACCTCTGGAATACAAGGGGAAGTTCTGTTAACATCCATTAGTAAATGCACAGGTAGTGATATAATTAGAAAATGATCATTTTGCAACTCTATTAAAAAAGAATTGGTTCAGGCAAAAATCAAATGATTTTAACATCATACCAGGAATGCTACAATGAAAAGGTCATTATCACCTGAACTCACTGATCAACTTGGCATGATTGAAAGTATAATAATCAAACATCATGTACCTTCTTATTTAAAGCAATAGGAATTAGTGCACATATAAAGTTTTCTAGCCAAAAATAACTAAATCTGAATGTAAATAAGGCTTGATCTAACTTCCAGTCGACAAAAACAGAGAAATCAAATCCATGAATACTTTAGAATAATTGACCAAATTTCTTTCACATAAAAAGAGAAGAAAGAATACCTGTTTTTGATTAATAGATATATGACACAAAACGACCAATTACAAGAGTGGGCCTATTTATATCTAGATCAAATTAACTATAAAAATACATAAAGAATTGTTTTAAACAATCAAGGAAATTTGCTTATGAACTGGATACCAGATGATCTTAAGGAATTATTGCTAACTCTGTTAGATATGACAATGCATTGTGGTTATTGAAGGAAACATCTGCTTTAAGTTTAAGATATATACTAAAATACTAAGGGATAAAATGATATGACAAATCAAAATTTGAATAGAATATTTTGGCAAAAGAGAGTATAAGATTTTTTAAAGTAAGGCAAAAGTTGATAAAACTTGGGGATGGGACATGTGAGGTTACTGAATTCCACTTTTGAATGGAGATACTACATTTGGAAATTCACAAAAGAAATTTTAAAAGTCTTTTAAGCCAAATAAATACTGAATTTAAAAAAGTTGATATTAAATGTAAGGGTTACAATTTGTAGCATGGAAAATAGGAATTAAGGTAAAATATACATTTATTCAGAATCACTACAAAGAAACACTGTAGATTTTCTTTAAAATTGAGTATTACTAAAAATTCATGTTTTCTATAGAGAGACTATAATGTGGAATTCAGAAATACAGTCTTAGAACAACTATGTAGGTACAGGTTATAGTTTGGATCTGGAAAGTCCTCTAAGGGACATGTATTGAATGCTTGATACCCAATGCAGAAATATTTAGAGGTGGGGCCTAAAAAGGTGATCATGAGGATCATGAGGTCACTAATCTCATCAATGGATTAATGCACTGATAGCTGAATGGGTC